TGTCGTGATAATCGATCTCGCTGTTGTGATTTTCGATCTCGACATCCCGCAACTTAACAGCCAATCATTCCTTCTCAGCGATTTGTCGTGATTTGCGATCACTCCACCCAACGATCTCCTCCATTGTTTCGATCCGCTTTGCCGCAGCAACGATCGCCCAAATTGTCTTGGCCTGCTTTACCACAGTATCTAATGGGTAGACCTGGCACCTCATGAATAATATTAAAATATTTCAGTGGTCGACCGAATTTTTTAAGGGTTCAAGTCATACTCGGCCAAACCAAGATGTGAAGAAGTGATGACAAAAGAGAAAAGAAATAAGAATACAGAAGTTAAATCACGCCTGGCAAAATCAATAAACTTGTCCATAATGTGAGGTACCAAGGTTCTTACATGCTTTTAGAGGAACTACTGGCACTTCTTGAGCAATGGGAATGTCGAGCTGGAATCCCGAAGATCCTCAAGCAGGTCTGCCGGATTTTTTTCCTCCTCACTCCTTGGAAATCAATAAAATTCGCAGCGAGATCGAGGGGAGAACCAGAAAAGGGGGTCCAGGAAAATGCCGAGATCACATAGACCGACACGGATCCTCTTGAAAATCAAACAACTACGTCCCGCCACACTTGGACGTCTAGAACTCGTAGCTTCTTCAATGCCAAGGTTGCCCCGTTACATCTAGGTTCCAGGGGTTCTTGCAAAAAACTGATCAATATTGTGCACGTGCTGCAGAATATTCGGTTTTTGTTTAAATAATCTGCATCTACATATTAACCGCATCGAGCTTTAGATCAAGCATCGCAGCAAAACCGACCACTAATAGAAATGTAGCCATCCGGGCAACGGGAAAAAACCTTCCGGTAAATCAACACCGGTACGTTGACAATTTCAAAGCGCGACGAGCCTGGCCTAAACCTGAGTGCAAAACCATATCTTCTGTCTTTGAGAACATCGAGGCGACCTACCCTTTATAAGTTATAGCGATATAACAGATCCTGTCTCTCTATAATTTGCCTAACGCAAATACAGACTGCTGATAGCGGTCGATCTATGCAGGGGGTACGTAAAGGCTAACGCTAGCGCTTAGCGGACAGCTCATAAGGTAGCTGGGGGAAATGAAGAGTGCGTTTTTCTTGATTTCTTGGCTAGCGAGGCGAGGCGATCCGTCATGACCGAAAACCGAGAAATCTGTCGGATTTTTTATGTGCGTTTAACCGCATAGTTGTTCATTATCATCAAGAGACAAAGGTCTACCAACCTCAGGCCTGTGATACGGCAGCGAGGATGGTCCAGACTCTGACCGGGTCTAATAATTTGTATTTTGCTGACTTAAAGCAACGGTATTAGGACGAGCTTTTTGTGGCGTTGACTTTTGCGATGAATACTGCACAAGACCAAGTGTGGAAAGAAACGCCTTTTTATTTGATCCACTGTTGGTATACCAGGTCTACACTTGAAATCACGTTGCCGATAATGAATGTCCTAAGGCAGAATTCTGAACCTAGAAGGTAAAGTTATCGTATTTAAAGTCAGCATTGGCGAGCAGGTGAATCAGAAACTGTGAGAAGAGAGTCAGGTGCGACCGCGATTACAAACTGAAGCTTGTTGGACTACAAGATTCAAATAGGAACCAAGTATGGCTCAATATCGACAATGTAAAAGAAGTAAATGCAGGAACTTGACGCTTAGATACGAAAATTGAATGTAGGAGAATATGAGGTCAAAGAGATTCCAAAGAGCCGTACTGGTAAGAAGACACGTAATGGGCAACACCAACACGAGTTTCTCGTTCGTTAAAAAGGGTATGTGGACCCCTCCAGAAGAAATGAACTCGATTTGGACTGCGGAGCCTCACTGCGCGAGTTTAAACGCAAGAAGACGAGCCATAATCAGTTCAAAGCTATGCAGAGTCGTACCAACTAGAGCCGCGTTTCGAAAGTCCCAGGGGTAGACTCTGGTCCATCACGGGTCGACCAAATCACTTACAATAGACCACGGTATTGTGGTGGAGCGGCGATCTCATTTTATGAGGCGATCTCGACTCTCCACTGGTGCCCAGACGACCGACTATCGGAGGGGGTACTCCGTTTCCGTGTCTTGTATTTCCTTCCTCATCTTGTGTACCCGTCATAAGTTGACCAAGATCTTCCGCGAACAACACTCCGCATTCATGATGGTATAATGTTCATTGGTTTGCTCCTTCGCAACAATCTTTCCACTTTTCCACGCAGGTCTTTCCACGACGTAGCCGGTATTAATATGTCGTCAATGTAGGATCTTCGACCCAACACTGATGGTTTTGGACCCATATCCGGTTCCCCATCGGTGAAGACATCTATCAACTTCGGCGACCCTACCACAGTCGATTCCGACTTTGGGTCGATCTTCAAATACCCATGGAGGGCGTTATCGATCAAACGTTGGTAGATCTGCGGAGCATTTTTCAACCCGAAAGGCATCCGTAACCACTCAAACAACCCGGATGGCGTGATAAAAGCGGGGATTGCCCTTGCTCTTTCCGTCATCTCCACCACCCAGAAACCACTTGCCATGTCCAATGAACAGTACCACATAGCTTTATCCATGTCTTGCAATAGTTCGCTGATCAGTGGCATCGGATACACCATCAACCTAGTCAGCCGATTCACCCGCCTGTAATCAATACACAGCCTTATATCTTCTCCGTTTTTCTTGATGATTACCGCGATAGGGGATGCCCATGGTGATGTAGATGGTCGAATGATCTTGGCCGACAGCAGTCCCTCGATCAGATCAGCGAGTTTTTCTCGGAACTTTGGAGCTACCGGTCGGACCCGTTGTGCGATCGGGCTAGCTCCTCCCACATCAATGTCACAGACTGCGCCGCGCGCCGCAGGGGGTAGGGCGTTGCCTTTTCCAATTAGTAGGTGCCGGCTCTTCCAAATTATTTGTCGTAATTTCTCTTGATCTTCGGTTATTGAAATGCCGGGATCACCTACTTGGATATCATCGATCGTTATATCTTGTGTAGGCGTAACGACTTCGGGAAGAACAGCCAGGTGTTGATCCACATCTTCTGCGAACAGTTCGCCGGCATCCCAGGATATGGTCGCGTGAAAGGTATTCACACGACCAACAGTTGCTTGTGAAGCTCTCTCATGATCGCCCTGATCTTCCTTGATGTAGACTTGCTTAAGTGTAAATACTCGATCCTCTTGTTCGTCTGACCACTTGATCGCCTAGTTTTAGGATCATTTGAGCCTTCTGAAGATCTTGCCTTAAATGATTACTGCATCCGATCGCGGGCTAACTTAAATGAGTATCTTTGTCCCTAGCCAGTCAATCAAAGGAAAAACCTTGAGCAAACAAGAGAAGAAGTAAACCCTTAGCGTCGGGTGGCCACAAGGGTGGAGAAGCGGTCGCATGGAAGCTCCAACTGAGTTGGAGATGAGACTGCACGAATGGTACGCTTCATTTAAGTCAAAAGGGCTTTGATTCGCGAAAATGAGCTGGTCTGGGTGGCTCGCAATACTTCACCTAACTTCCAGCAAGCAGGTTTGGTATCTTGAGCGTTCTTGAACATACCTGACCAGACAATCCAGGTGTGACACTAATGTAGACGTATGTTGCGGTTCTATAAATTTTGAGAGGCCAAAGGATCTGATCAAAAGAGATGGCTAATTTTCTTAAAGCAAAGAGAACTATTCTCATTGCTAACCGATCGACCCGAAACTTAGTACTGTGCAACCCTGTATCTCCTTACTGGATGTCACGCGTCACCGTATATGGGGATCGTTCTTACAATTTTATGAGGTCCACACTAGTTGTAACAGCATTCGTGTCTTCGTGTGGTCCACCTCGGATGCCAAAACATTCGGATCTTCATGTTGTCCACCTCGGATATCACAACCATTCGATCATGTATCATGGTCACACGGTGGGGATCGCGATTACTAGTCGGGGGTAGTAATCGCAAGTTTGGTAATGCGATCACAAGCTAGAGATCGCGATCCCAGATCTAGGTCATGACCGCAGGTTTAAGATGATTATTTCAGATCGGTATTTTGATCGCAAGTTGGGGATCACGATCCATTACCTTCCATGTCTCCCGACGGAGTGCGTAATGATACTGCTTTAGCTGCCACGTGGCCTTGTCTTACTTCTCCAACATTTATTTCGTAAATTACACCTCGCGCAGGAGGGGGCGGGCGTTTACTTTACCCCCAGAAGGTGCCGTTATTTCCATGTAAGCTGACATTATTCCTCATTCATCTTTATCAATGGTACTTCTGCGTCATCCACCTGTATATTGTCAGTTTTCATTTCGCTCAGCATCACATCTATTTCTGGTAAACGCCGATCGAGGACAAGATCAACCTAGCGAAGCGATCGGAGATGTGAAGGAAATCGCAACGGACGAGATCAGACATGTAGAAGCTGATCTGTTTCATAAACGGTCCAGCTATCAGTCAGACGCGATCGAAATGAGAGATGGTGAATTTCAAGGACAGGCCGATCAATTAGTCGAAGACTGCAAAGTGGTGAAGATCGACACACCTGCGGACTATGAGATCGTGAGACCTCCGACGGGGATCGATGTGATCGAAACAGGGTACGAGAGTGATCGAGGTAGAGATAGACCGAGGCAGACAGGACAGAAGTCGGGTGGTCTTTACGTTATAATGTCAAAAACTGCGGGACGTCCTGTACCGGCCGATCGCGTCTGTGCCTTTTCTCCCGAATGGCTGTTATAAATTCTTAGTGTCCGCCTATCGCAATTCTAAAGAATACCGTGATCGCGTGAAGATTTCCGCCCGATCACAAACCCCATTCCAAACACGGTCAAGTTTTCTCTCGAAGCGAGTCCACCGAGAAGAGTGCAGCCCGCCCTACCGACGTGTACACAAGGTGAGGAAGGAAATACAAGACACGGAAACGGAGTACCCCCTCCGATAGTCGGTCGTCTGGGCACCAGTGGAGAGTCGAGATCGCCTCATAAAATGAGCGATCGCCGCTCCACCACAATGGTGCGCGTCCCTGGATCTTCTGGTGACTCGGGATTTCACCGTGAGTCCCTGAGCGAAGATGAGAAGGTCAAGATTGAACCTGATATGGAAGCGTATGAGGAAGAGGGACGCCGCAGACGCGTGATGATAAAAGATCCCCAGATCATCAGAGTTTTGGGAGGGGCTCTGATGACAAGAAGATTAAAGAGGAAAATCGAGCGATCGATCTGGAAGAGAAACCTCGACACCCTCCTGAAGTCCCTTCGGGGACCACCGCGGATCGTGCTGCAAGGCACAATCCGCTGGGTGAAAACCCTTCAGCGAAAACTGAACAAAAACTAAACAAGACCACTCAAGCGAAGTCAAAGAAGAAGATTGTGAAGACAGATCGAGTGAAGAAAGAAGAGACACGATCAGATCGAACTGATCGCGAAATGAAATCGATCATTCGACCAATCAAGCTCATTGATGATGACATGAAGATGGAAGGCTGGAAGTTAGACCAATTGGCACAGGTATATCACTGGAAGGCACTCAAGAATCTGCTATCGAGCGATCCAGTGCTGCAGATATTGAAGCCCAAGCTGATCGGAGAAATTCAAGGACCGATTTCCCCGCCCGGTGGTGACGACAAAACCGTTGGACGGGATCAATGCGATCATTCAGCTACTACGTGACGCTGGATATGTCGCTGGAGTGTTCGATGCGAACAAACTGTTGGAGTGCGATCAAGATCAGGTGATTCACACGTGTCGATTGCTATATAACAAGTTGGCTCCCCTAACGGGTAAGTGCGAACCCAACGATCAAGCAGCCGCTGCGATCGCCGATACCCCGAGAGGATATCATACTGGATCGTCGCAGTACGCCTCAGCTGAGTCTGAAATGGAATCGGATGATTCGATCGGTATTCAGCGAATGTCTCTCGGCCCAAGTGGTGCGGCACATTTGCGTGATCAAGTCGATGCGATCAAGTGCGAACCGCGATCGGCGATCGCATGCGCTAAAGAAGAGATGACGTCAGCTATGCAAGGACACCTACAAACATACCTGAAGGAGGCCATGGAACATTTTCATCAAGTTCAACGAGAACAAGCGTATCAAGCAATCTACCCAAGCCAAAGAATCAAGCCGGCAAGAGTCCACGAAGTGTATATCCCAGATGTTGAGATGGAATCGGTGCGATCGCATCGCAGTCGATCTAACAATTTCGAGGAATAAGGTACTGGGGATGTCGACCGAGTCTCGAGTGTGGGAATTGCAGGATCGATATTGATAGGGGTGCACACTAAGCCTTCGGTAGATCGCGCGGTCGAGGCAGATGACCGCCAGCTAACGAAAGAGCGTGATCGGTACATCGCAGCAAGCATAGCCTTGTCGACAGACCCAGCGGAATCATCGCTACCCAAGGTGATTGTCTCATAAAATGAGCGAATCCCATTACACAACACAAATATTCCGGTCCGGAGGGATGCTTGCGCGTATCTTCTGTATGAAAATTATTGTTGTTCCCTGGTAACCTATATCGATCTAGAACTAAGCTTATAGTTCTCTTTATTTCAGTTTTTTAACCCGGCGTTTCCCTCCGCACATACATTCCATGTGCTTGAAGTGACCCACCTAAACCACCAGCATGAATGCTGGGCGTTAACAGTGACCGTGACCGCTAGACATCAATAATGACCATCTTTGCTGGTCATTAATAGTTCCCAGACCGCTGTCATAGTCCATTTTTATAAACGACGGTCATCCACCGTGATCGTGACAGATAATCACCGGCTATGACCGCGACTGATGACCTTTCAACTTCCCACCGTAGCGTTAAAATTTCCGGCGGTCATTCCCAAAGCCTTCATATTGAATTTTCATGGAAAAGCAATACACACGAACGATACAAAAACCTTCGGGTCATTTTCAATCCCTATTATTCACAGTTGGTGCCCGAGGTACTCAAACTTGCTTCGTCCCCAGACTCTGTTAGGAAGACTGTTTGACAATCCCACTGATCACATCCTTTCAACAATATTTACACTTTTCGATAAAGAGACGTTTAGTATGATGGTGTGATTTAATATTTATCAATGTAGGACCTTCGTATTAAAATTGATGCATTCAGTGTGATTATGGCTCGCCGGCCATGAAGTATGCTTTGTCACAATTCAAATTCTACCTGCTACGTGATGGGCCCTTTGTGGTGGAGTGGATTTTGCTCATTTTGAGAAGCGATACCAACTCTTCACTGGAGCCTAGACGACCGACTAACGGAGAGGGTACTCCGGACCTTGTGTCTTGCCTTGTTCTTATCACCTTGTGTACCCGTCGGCGGGCGGTTGAACTCTTCTAGGTGTATTGAAGTCGATAGCTGTCTGGACTGACCGTCTGTTCATCACCGTCGGAGGCGTATTAGCAATTTTTCACTTGGAAGATATCCGAGTCGTGAGGGTAGCAGTTTGACGGGTTTCGATGCGAGGAAGCGAAGCCGGCCGTGTCTTCAAGTAATTTTAAGTTGACTGTCGTCGGGTAGCGTAATATACAGGCTGTGCTACGGTGAAAAGAACTCTAGGGGCAAACTCGTAGGTGGGAAGGGATCGACCCTTACCCAAATGGTGTTAGTAGGCTTTCCATCGGATAGCACTTCAGTGTCATCAATTTCTTTCGGTCTTTGCTTGTAGTACAGTGTCATGCACTTCTTCTTGCTGTGCTGGCATCCAGAGATGTCCAAACTTGGACCGTCGGTGTTTGCGACTACTTCGTTATAACTGAACATCACTAATCGAATTGGCTTGCTATTCTGAATCCGCACACAAATTCCAGCTGGAAGCACAAGGAAGTCATTAAAAAAATTGGGTTGCCGAAAGTCTTCCATTTCGCGCATACCCGCGTGCCGTGGGCGCTTCCCTGTATCCAAATGGTCGGCTGTGTTTATAGATAGCGTCCTGCTGCATTGTCGACGCTTTCGATCTAAAATGAGGTAATCGAACGTTTTGAGTGTGTCTTTACTGCACAGCTTTCTTTCCTGACTCATAACAACATCTATTGCGTGTGATCCATTAGATTCGATCAGAAATCAGATAGGGTGCATGCTGATGTCGCCATTTTTACTGTACATAAGCGGGTACTACTTGACGTCGGCCGTGATCTTGCGGAATCTTCTAACGTTCCTTAGTTGCAAGATGTTAAAGTAGCGCTTTCAGATATATCCTATGCTTTTGCAGTGTGATCCTTCAGATACAGACGGTGCGAAATTTATGACAACTTTTCCGCGTTTGAAGGTTCAGCCACAGAATCTTCTTACTCCACAATCACTTTTCGCATATATTAGCGTCATTTGATGACAATCAATGATTAGACCATTTCGACGCTGAATATTAAAGCAGATAGTCCATAAAAATTGTTATCGAGAACGTAAACTTTTTTATTACTATCAAGCTGTGTTTCCTGTCTTTTTTAGCGTGATGTAATTCAGGATCGGTGGTAGTAAAACTAATGCAATCGTAAGGATCCGGGGTCCTCTCTGCATTAGTATTTTCGTCTTTATTGTGACTTTGCTCGTGAATACTTAGGTCATGTAGCCATTTGCACGTACAATACCCAGGAAAGTACACTTTGTAGTCAACGCAGAAATCGTTCAGACCAAGGGCATACCCGATTACCACATTGTCATTGACGCATGGTATCATCGGATGCTTGCATCCATTCTTCGACCCGACTAATGAAGCCGTGATTATTGTCTATACGAATAAATAGAACCATCCTGGCGTCACTGTAGCAAAAAATATGAAGGACTGCTTATGCCAGTGACTTTTACAAGCCGAAACCTTAAGTCTAGTATGCGAAATTACAGTGTGTGAAAAAAAATTGTTGGCCTTTTTTCGTATGCTGGAGACCATATGGTTACGTGTCTTCTAATAATCTTGACAAGACATTTACATTTGCATGGATAGTAAATTTTTCCTGCTTGCAGAGGCACTTGGGATGTTGGGTCTCTCATTTATATCAGTGGACCCCGGAGATCTTGGAGAATCAAAGGTACGGATCAGGTGCTGGGAGCGTTGGAAGCCAACTTAACCCTCGAGGAGTGCTGACTGATAGCTGTCGGCCATTACCACTAAGAAGAAGACGAGTCCGATGATCGACCTACCTACTCCCATCGTGAAACTGGATGAAAAAGTGTGCGCAATGAGTCTTGATGGGTCAGACTGTGTTAAGCAAGATTTTAAGGCTTGTAGCTCTGTCGTATCAAGACTCATACATGGACCATGGTCGAAGCCCTTTTAAGTATATCGACACGTCTACGGTAAATACGAGCACTATGAGGTTATGTCAATGGGACTTAACTTCGAAAACCTTTAAAGCGACGAAGATTGATTATTTGTGGAGACTAAAATATATTGGTGAGGCAGATGCGAGGAAAAGTTGAGTGTGAGGCTTCGGTCTGCCGCCGCTACGAGCCCGGATTTTAAAAACACTCTAATCCTGGTCCTTTAGAGGATTCTATATTTATAACGAGATCGGAATTAGAGCGCGTATAGGGTAAATAGTACAGCTTTGCACTAGCAGGAAGGTGTCTAGTCGGCGTTGAGTGAAGTAATAACAAGTTTGGAAGCAATCAATCGTCTACAGAAGCAACTTTTCCCTAAATTCCAAAATCATTCTGCCAGAAAATCATCGGTAATATGGTCGCGGTCTCCCATTAAGATATTCGGGGGACTATGCAAGAATAGTTATTACAGCGACTCCTCGTGGACTGAATTCGATAGGCGCAAGAAGAGGGTAGCTGACTGTGAGATTTATAAGCATGTATGGGGGGGACAGAGTGACATGTCTGTGGAATCTGACAAGCAGTGTATGAAAATTTTCAGATATTACGATGTTAACAAAGAGAACTATTAGTGCACTGCCTAAACCCAAGAGTTGAGGAAGAAGGCCCTGGTATGACGGTCAGATTGGTGATATTGGAAAGTTTTTAAACCGACTTTCTCCACCACTACTACACGAGTTTAAAGGAAATTCATTAAGTTATTGGTCGTACCTACCAACGCATACGATGGTAATGTCACCAGAAAGCTCTGTGTCCGAGCTCGCAGAGATATTCAGATTCATGCATCGATTGTGAGACCAAAAAAATTGGACCTACTTTAGTCCAGATCTCGTATAGTCTGCAATTCCAGGCGCCTGTACCACAGATCATGAATTACATCAGTGCGTATATAAAACAATTTGTCGTCACAGTAAAAGGAAGTTCACCAATCTGTGGTCTTGATAGCGCCATCCACGTGCTGCTGCATGTGGATGCATAGACAGCGACTTGTGCGCTTTATCAGTCCGCCCGGGTGAAATTCCGTACGGTCATAAAATTAGAAAGTTGTTTGCTTCTTCTTTCTTTTTAAATTGTGAAAAAGTGCATAGCCTAGAACGTTCGGCTCGTACCAGATTACAAATGGCAAGCGTCCTAGTTTAACATCTTCTCCGACTCAGGAGGAAGCATTTCAGCATGATCGTATAGCACGTACCGCTTGCGGAGAATATTGTTAAGCTTTTCCATGCTATGCATGGTTTCGAAAATCAAGCGAGTTGCTATGCAGCAGCAAGAAGGGTGGCTGCACGCATGCGTGCAGCCGGAGATAGTTCTTCTCACACCTCAGCAGCAGGTGATTTGTCACCTGTTGTTCTAAACAGTCCACGTGATGAGTCACCACGTGCGACATGTACATCCGCTGCGTCTGCAGCGGGTACTGAAAATCGTAATCCAGATGAGTCTGAAATAGAGCTCATCTGTTCTGGCGAGTCTGATGATGCATCCGACTCGAAGGCGACACCTCACTCCCCCGGGTCACCAGGGGCGGACACTGCAAGAGCCAGGTTGACTGGCTCTGGTCAACGTGGCGGCATCATGCTCTAGATCTTCGGATCGAGCGATTGTTCCGACGAATCCTCGCCTCACGCGAGTCTATCCAATGATAGGCCGCGTGAAGATAGTGGTGATGCACCTTTATATCACCACGAGCGAAGTAACCCAAGGAATCGGGGTAACACTGGCGCCAGTGCTACTCCTGACACAAATCTAGAGGCCAGGGACCGAAATGTCCTGCGCCACGCTCCTCAAGTGGAGTGTCCTCCGATGTTGTCACATAAAGAGTTGGACCGGTTGGCCGGCATGACTATCGAACAAGATCGAATCCCATTGTCAACTGTAGGAAGATTTGCCCACCTAATTCCAGCACGGAAACTATCCGTGCTGAGGAAGAATTCTTCACAGGTGCATTTTTAAACATCGGTGGTTCAATAGCAGCCTGGTCGAGACGGTAAGGCTTTTAGTACAAGAATAGAACGCCCTCATCCATAACATCGAGTGCATTGGCCGTGAGGCCTGGCTCGGTAAACTGGATGCAGCTCGAAACCGGTTTTGAAAAACGTAACCCAGCCGGGGTGCGATACAAGTTGCACCGGCTGTCAAGAGAGGCAGGATTACCCTGTATCTCGTGGGGTGCTTCGTGTCCAGGTTGCCTGGACAACTCAAACCGTGCCCCTAGGGAGGACTACCTCCTTAATGATCCCTACTGGAGGGCGCGCATCTCTTCCGAGATGGCCGAAGGGTTAACACTTTGCAATCCCTGCACTCGCGATCGGGTAGGTCGTTTTCCAACGTCCCTTCTTCGAATGCAGCTGGTAAACTCGTCATACTGCTCGACGAGACCCAGAACATCAACAATCAGCTGGGCACGAGGCTCCCAGCTGTCCCAGGCCAATGGATAGCCACGCCAGTGGACGAGGTAACTCGTCCGGACACCATTCACGTCGCGGTGGTTCAAATACGCTCCACTAGAAAGCTTTGACCACCGCCAGAGTTTACCAAAGAATGTGGTCGTGGCGGGAACACCTGATCCGGCTCGAGGGTCGGATCAGCTTGATGTTTAGAAGCTGAACCGTGTAACGGAACAGTTGCACGATGACCTAGCTCATGAACGGACTAGGAGTTATGAGATCCATGATCTTGTATAGGATAATTACAATTACTAAACGCACAATCGTTCGGACTATCGTGCCGCGTTTGCGTTCGCACAACTTGAAAACGAACGTTCGATTCGATCTCTTTTTGTGACTAGCTGAGTGCAGCTCGTCAGGACATCGCTTAACTGCGTGAACTGGTCGCTTCGCTAGTGGACCAGACTGGCTCGTTGAAATGGGACCACTCGAAGGTGGTCTCGGCTCTCGACCGTGGAGGTGTTCTTCGCTTCTCGAAACGGGCTCGTACTGACGGTACGGGCGAAGACGACCAACGTAAAACGTAGGATGTGTACGCATCTTACGGGGCAGTTCAATCGTGTATGCGTTGCCCATTCAGCGCAACACACGAAATGTACCGATAGACCTGGGCAGTAGTATACTGCTGCCCACGTTTGTCACTGCGTGTGTCAGTAGGTTTACTGTAGACATTAAAACTAGGTCTCCTATATCAAATGAAAGAACATCTGCTCTTCCATGTTTGTCTGCGTTTCTTTTCTGTCTGTCTAGTGCATCTAAAATAGAGTCTTGAACGAAGCGGACAACCGCTTCGAGCGTCAGCAGAAATTCCTTTGCTGTTTTATCCTTGTCAAAAGCTGTGCGCTTTGTGTGCACTGCTGAAAGAACGTTGTCTTCACCAGTGAGGGGGTCTTCTTCGTCACTTTGGCAGTCATTGGCGATGCTGAATATACCAGCATCGTCATCATCATCATCGATGTCGATCGAATCGACATTGGCATCCATCACGTCGACACCATTGTCGACGGGTGATGAGAAAGAACCAGATCGGTTTTCGTTCGAACGAGTCCACCCCCCTAAAAATAGAGTAACGCTCTATGAAGGCAGGTAAACGTGGATGGCGTAGGCCATTCACGAAGAACGGTGTATGCGTTGTCGACGCATGCACCGAGTTGTTGAAGGCGAGTTCCGCCATCGGCAAGAACTCTCTCCAACTCGTAAACGAGTGGACATACCCTCGAAGTATCTCTTCGATGACGCGGTTGACGCGTTCCGTCCGACCATCTGTTTCTGGATGGTACGAAGATGACATCTTTAGACGTGTTCCAAGTGAGCGGAACAAGGATTGCCAGAACTCTGTTGTGAATCGGGGGTCCCTATCAAGTACAAGTTCACGGGGTAACCCGTGAAGTCGGACGATAGTATCGATGAAGACACTAGCACAGCCCTGGGCTGTGATCGACTCCGGCACAGCAACAAGATGTACCATTTTGCTGAACCGGTCAACAAACGCAAGAATACCAGTACGCTTGTGAGCGTCTTCAGGAAACCCGAAGACGAATTCTCCATCGATACTGACTACCAAGACTCTGCCGAAATTGGTAGAGTCTACAAGGGTGCACGGGATGAAGGACTAGGCTTCAACTGTTGACAAACTTCGCAAAATCGAATGCATTTGCGCACAAACTCATACTGGCGGGGCCAGTAGAAGTCACAACTTACCGTGAGGTAAGTCTTTTATCTACCGCGTTGCCTACTTGTTGGGGCATCGTGACAAATATACATGATGCGGAATCGCAAATCATCACGAGCGGGAACGACGACACGAGGTTTGTCGCCGTTGAGTGCTGTATAGTTCAGCAATTTATCACGAACCGAAAACTGGTAAAATTGATGAGCGGTATTGAGACGACAAGCTTTTCAAAGCTTGACTGCATTAATTAGTGCATGATCAATTATCCGTAAAAGAGACTCGTCTTCTGCGTATGCTTTTCGCAAGTCTCCAAGCAGATTCGACGACGGAACACTTACTATGGTGTTGCTACAGTGGGATTACCCCTACTGTCGGGTTGAGCAGTTGGCTCAAAATCGGGTTGACGCAAAATAGCGTCAACCCGATTTTGAGCCAACTGCTCAACCCGACAGCGTCAGCGAAGACATCTAGTCGCCCTGGTGTATACTCGACGGAGAAGTTGTACTCCACGAAAAAAGACAGCCACCTCGCCATTCGTTGCAAGAGGTGTAGACTGTTTACGGCCGTGAGTAACGACGCATGGTCGGTATAAACGATGAAGGGCCTGTCTCCTAAGAGATATACCCGAAACTTAACCAGTGCATTTTTCATGGCAAGGAGTTCCTTCTCATGCATTGGGTAATTACGCTCAGCTGCTTGCAGCTGACGCAATTGATAACAGACGACGCGCTCAACGCCATCTGAGTCGTACTGCATTAAAGCGCAGCCGATTGCAAAATCGCTGGCGTCACAGACCACATGAAATGGTCTGCAATCGCCAACACAGGCGATTGTATCAAACTTTTTTGATGCCTTCAAGAGTACTGACACTCAGCGCTCCATTAACACCTCTCGTTTTTCTTTAGCAGACGAGAGAGATGTATGGTCATCTCGGCATAGTTGCGCGAGTATTTGTGCAAGTATGCCGCCAAGTCAAGGAACGTTCGAAGTCCCTTGACGTCGACTGGCACAGTCCAGTCGCTAATCGCCTTAATCTTTTCCGGATCAGGGCGTAAGACGTTTTTACCCACGATGCAGCTAAGAAGTGGTATGTCGTTCGCTGCGAATATACACTTCTTGAGGTTTGCAAACAACTTATGCTCTCGCATTAGAGTAAGAACCTTCCGAAGTGGATTTTATGAACCTCCACGTCCTTCATTCCATCCATAGCCCGGCTCTGGACGAATACATCGTCGAAGTAACTCGGTGCGAAATCGCGCACCGATCGCAACCGATTCGTAACACATCTGTTGAACGTTGCAGGGGCGTTAATCAGACCCTGTGGCATCACTAGCCACTCCCAGATCATACCACTGGGGGTGCTCACTGCTGTGTACGGGATGTTCCGTTCACGCATGAGGATCTGACATAATTCATCCATCCGATCCATGGACGAAAAATGGAACTTAATTCCGTACCATCTATGATGACGTCCTTCCTCGGTATCGGCGTTTGAGCCGGTACCGTTGCAGCTTTCAATTTGTTGAACGCGTGCACTATCCGCCACCCTCCTGTAGTCTTTCGCACACAGAAGGTCGGAGAGCTGTGTGGGTATGTTGATTCCCTCACATGACCAGCCGCTAAGCGATCGGCAAAGAATTTGTCGATCGCTGTGACTTTTCACGAGGCAGTGGCCACTGTTTCATGACACAGTACTTCTAAGTGGGTTTCAGCTAGATTTCATGCTGAGTGACTTAGTCCTTGAGCAGCTCGCATGACACGGATTCAGTAAAAACTTCCCTGAGCTCGACTAAATCCTTATGCAAAGGATTTGTCTTCAAAGAATCCCAAGATTGAGACGTGTATCGCTCAATTCGAGTCTTCTCATAGAGGACACTTTCATCCATCAATGAGATACTAAGAACCCGTTCTTTCTCAGCAAATACTTGTGCCGACCGAATATCGGCGACGTACTCGTACTCTGTGACGAGTAAGCAGATCTGCTTGATCTTGTCACTACGCAGAGCTGGCAAGAATCTTTTAGTTTCTATCGTTGGCAACTTGACTACCTCCGAACCTGTCTTCGGGGGTGTAACCAGATCAAGTGTATAAGCCCCTACACTTGATCCGTCATTCAC